TCAGGTCCCTTCGGTGAGACACACAGCCGAGGATCACAGCTGCATCTAGAACACAAAATAGGCCAAGTCCAGTCCAATGACTCTTCCTCACACACACTGGCCTAAACTTAATCTATGATTCCTCAGACAAATACCTATCGAACATCTATCTTCCTCTCCAAGGACATCCCTAAAGCATTATTCCATAAGACTGTGATTTATGCAAACAGCATAGCATGCTACAAGGAACAGTTCTCCCTCAATCACAGATTCCCATTCAGATTCAGGGATCTATAAGGACAACATATTATCCTCAGAAACCAGTGAGAGCAGGCTCTGGCTGCTGCAAGAAGGAGCTACTTTTTGCAGGATCACTAAGTTTGACAGCACCAGCCAAAAGCCACTCATCCAAACTCTCACACCTGCTTGCTTCTGCAAGTCACAAAGTTAACTTCTAGTCTGCCATGAAAGCACATCACAGAGCCACCACCAAAATGGACAGAAGATGACCCTCAACCAGCAACCTTAGAAGAAAAAGCTATGGAATAAAAGGGTTGCAGACAAGACCATCCCCATTTGTTCAGAACAAACAAAATCCTTCTAGGGCAGAGCTGAATCCATTTTTTGCCCTGTAACTCTACTACAGAAAGTACGAATGCAACTGGAAAACAGTCCATCTGTATTTTTCTGCTCACTTCTGCAAAGCAGAGCCTCTCCACTGAAACTCTCACTGATCAACATACAAGCTAAAACCTTGGTTTTGTACACTATTAAGATTACAGCAATTTTTAGAGACACCAATCTAGAATCAAGTTCTCACTGAGGGGACTGCTAAACAAACATGTAGTAAAAAGACCACACCCAGAACAACAACATGCTGTTTGGTTGATAAGACATAGCTGACAGATGGAAGAGCAGCAGCAAGGAACGTGACAAGTAGACAAACAATTTGGCATACACTAATGCATACAATATAGCTCGCCATGTCACCACTCAGTTAGTGAGAAGCTACATTGTGCATTCAAGCCGCTTTTTCTATTTATTTTTTTTAAACAAACACAAAAGGGGAGTTATTTATCAGTCATCTCAACAGCAGCAGCAACGGACAGCAGCATGCAGAAAGCTTAAATGAGGTATTTCCTCCCAACAATAGCCATGACTTTCCAACCTAGCAAATACCATTTGATGGCCTCCACAGATACTCCAACCCTCCAACCAAAGAGCAATCACATACCTTTACACAAGTGTCCATGTTCTAAAAGCCAAAAGGGGGGTACCCATTCTTCAGCATCCTTCCTCTTTGTGCCCAACACTGGGGCTAATGTCAGCAAGAAGAGGCCATAGAGAAGATTATCACAGAGGGAGAAACTCCTGGAACTTGCATCACAGAATCACTGCTGAAAGGTGAGCACAGCAATTTCCTCCTCTTTGTGGAAAACGGTTGTCCTGCAATATTGCTCCCTATAGCCTGCTGTTTGCTAGCTTCCCTGGAAAAGAAAAAAAATGAGAGAGAAAGGTTAGATGTCTCCACTGTTGTGGGCAAATCTAGCAAGTAGAAACACATGAGAGGTGTAAGATGCAAGAATATCACTAGACGTCAAATGCATAGGAGATGAGCTATAAAGGATGGCGCAGCTAAGAACCTGCGTGCTATTTATGAGGCGTGCTAAGGAGCAGGTACCACTTCAAGCCTTCACAACCCACAAAATGTCATGTACTATTCTCAGACTGATTTTGCCCAAATCTAGAGGGCTATTTATAGACAAGCCTAAAAATAATTAAATAAATAAATCTTTGAAAGTTCTTGGATCTCAAAGCAAACTAGATAATTTCTTTTGTTGCTCTTGTTTTAGGTATTCAGGAAACTAGTATCCTCATAAGGCATTTCAGTTTCAGCAGCACTATCCACTAAATTACAGTCTACTGTCAAGATTGAGATTAAAAAAAAAAAAAATTTTTAAAAAAAATCTAACAGCAAGGATTGATGCAGCCCACAAAAAACAGGACATATGCCAGAAGAAAAGCCACAGAACCTACACAGTCGGTATCTACTCATTCAGAACACAGGTTATATAAACGAGTGAGAATAAAATGAACAAACCCACACTCACCACAGCAACTCTCTGTAAAGAGAGTCAGCTCTTCCGGGGATGTAAGTGATGCACTCCTTCTGCCTGCCATATCACTGCCTCAGCTGCCACTTCCTTCTTACTCCCGCCTCATCTACCTTCCTCTTCAGATGCCTCTTATTTCCCTCCATCCCAATAATCATACAGATCTGGCAGCCTTTGCATACGTCCACTAAGCTTTCTAATGCATATGAAAACCAACAGGTAAGTCTGTGCAGAGCTCTTTGATTGTGCTGCAGAAGCAGCCAGACTCTCACTCTCTTTTCCTCCCCCACATCTCAAGGAAAATCCCACCCACTCAGCTATTTTCTTCTTTCCTCTGCTTGAGCAAACAGTGTTGCAGTCCCCAAGGCATAAGTTCTCATTCTCTTCCTAGATGAAGGTTTCTAAACTCATATCTCTGTGTACTAAGAATCACAGACTTCGCAATTTCATTGGTATTTGAGTTCTTTCACAGTACCTATCCAAGCTGTGCTACAAATGGCTGGTTGAAACTCTGCTCCAGCTTGGCCTGGCTGTGGAAGGTGTGTGGTTCCTCCCCACACAGCTGAGGAATTTCACAGAAACTTATCAATATTTGGGAATCTATGAGATCTCCCTCCAGCATCTTACAGAACCACTCTCTTCATGTCACTGAAAAAACAACACAAAATTGGCCCTGTGGGTTCATCTACCCAAGCCATTTCTGCCTCAGTCCATAACTCTTTCCCTTCTGTAAAGCATACCACAAGTGACACAGACTCTCTCTCGAAAACATAAAAAGAGAAAGACCCATCACTTCAACTACAAGATTTTTAAGTCAATTGAAGCCTGAGTATCTTGATCTGGGTTGCAGAATTTCAGCGCTCACTGGACACAGGGAATTAATTATCTCCCTCAATCAGCACAGCAACTTCTCATTTTATTATCTCTACATGAAGTGGTAAACAAGACACCAAGTCAGGTGGCCACCAGAGATGAAGTGGCTGTCATACAATCAACTTCCCTCTAGCATACACACTGCCATCAGCTTTAAGGAGGCTCTTGCAGCTAGGATACATTGGGGTAAAGAACCAAGTTGCGAGTATTTGGTATCCAAGATATGTTGCCACTCACTTACCAGAATGTAGATCTAAATTAAAATAGTATCTCTGCTAAGAACTGCCAGCTAACAATCTGGGAAATGAATTCTGAAAATCAGCAATATAAGGTGCCATCATAGCTAGGCTGGAAAAAAAATGCTGAATTGTCCGACAGGTCTTAGTGATCCAAGGACAGAGCAAGCAACGGTCTCCTGCCATCTGCAGGGAAAGTGGGGATTTGGAAAGCTTCACCTTGGTTTGACTCCAGGAGAAGTACTGGCAGAATCAGCATAGACAGTATGGAATCATAAAATAAACCACATTAGTGCTATTGCTTCTCTCAAGTCAGCAAGGAAAGGAAGGTCAGTAATGGGAAAACATTTTGTTTGTATTACTGCTGCTGTGAAGCCAGAAGAACACAGTACAAAGCTCCAGAAGGAAGCACAAGTGTAGCTGCACATACAAAAGGAACTGTAACACAGTAATGGCACATTTGTGTGGCTACTGCTATGATGCCAGTTGGGGGCATGCTATACAGAACTGATTTACTGAGGTCCTAGGAAATCTGTTGTGCCTCTTGGTTTTTTTCGGTGCACTGATAAATTTAACTTCCTTTCTTGTCTCCCTTGACAAGTTCTAAAACTAAGAAGATGGACTTAAAACCTTTCTGCAGGTTGATACTACCTCATCCAACCAAGAAGAGAGAATCCTTCATCTCTGTGCAAAACATCCTCTCGATCCACATGCACAAATGTCCACCACCAATGGCACGTGTGTCTCATGCCACGCACAAGACGACAATTCTCTTCTGAGTAAAAAGGCACAGTATTTTCGCACATTAAGTAGAGCATGCACAAACCAACAAACAGGAATGCCCATGGGAACCTAACTTTAAAATACACCCACAGAAGACTGAAGAGTCAGCGCAAAAGGCACTGAGCAGGCTCCAGTATCAGCTGTCAAGGACAAAAGCCACATCAATGGCCAGTGTCCATACAAAACAGTCATTCTCTCATCAGGGCTGGGATTTGTCATACACGTTTACACACAAGCCAAATAAAATAGTGACAACAGGAAAAAAAAAATAACATGGGAGGCTTTTGCCAACTGCCTAAGTCTACAGACTTTTCATCACAACTGAACCACCACCAGGGCTGTCAGCTCCTCCCGCCTTCCTCAAACACAGCAAGCCAGCCAGATGGCAACTTCCAGGCCAGTCTCGTCTGGTATGATCACCCAGGTGGAAAGCTTAGCCACGGTTTCCCTAACAAACTGAGTTCTCCTTTCAGCCTAATTTTCTTCCTCATTGTCAGAGCCTCAGTCGTGGTTCTACTGAGGCCAGCGCTTCAGGAAAAAACTCCTGCATAGTACCTCACTGGCTGCATATCTGCTTTTTCTGACCAGCACACCAGATAAAACCAGTTGTATTTGGAAGATACCAACAGCTGCCAGTTCTCACTAATCCCAAAAGCTTACACGAGAAAGATAACAACAAGGAGGCCTCTCTCTCACCCTTCCCTGCACAGGGCACTAGAAACCAAGTGCCTGGGACTAGTCTGAGAACATGGAGAACGTTTCCTTATGTGTGCAGAAGAGATACTTCAGGTCAGACTACACCATTACGGCTGGGGGGGGC